GGAATGGTATCAATGGAATTGTTCAAGATAAGGTACTAGGTGCCCAATATTTAAAAACTGCTGCTTTGGCAGATCATCCTAAAGCTAGAGAATTATGTTTAGAATATAGAATTTCGTAAACATTATTTTCTTGAAGTCTCTTTTTTTTTTTGGTTCTACACTCATTCATCACTAATTTATTTAATAAAAGTATTATTTTTTTTTAAATAATTGAAAAAAGATTAAACGCCAAAAAGAATATGTTTGTCCTCTTTAATTGAGTTAAATGCTAATATAAAAAAGTTTGGCTCGTTACCCTTCCGACTAAAATTTTTTCACTATTTGGGAGGTTTGCTATTAAAATCACGTTACGGATCATACGATTTACGATGTTCTATGTTCGTAAACTCGATTTTAATAGCATTTTTTTTAAACGTATAAAAATTTTCATTTTTCATGCCAAAACGCAAATGTCTGAACTAATGTTTATTCCAAACTATTTTTGCCGAATCGGTTCATTTTGAAAGATTATAAAGGGGTAGTATGACAAACTTTCTTGATGTGAATAGATAAATCCCAATAAAAAAAAAAGAATATATTCTTATCACAGGATATTAACCGGTGATGTCAGCCGAATCGATTTCCATGAAGATAATAGATACTTCTTTAACACTAGAATCCTGGATTAAAGTTACTAAATGTCAAAATGTTTGATCGATATTTCATTGCAATGTACATAATTGTAATAGAAAAACAAAAAATATCTTTGTTTCTTTATCTGTTTCATATCGCAAAAATTAACAATGTTGCGTAGAATATAAACACATTCATTTCCATTTCTCTCATTCCGTCTAAATAAAAAAATCCACAAGCCATGGTTTCTTAAATGCACATGTAATAAAAAATCTTGAATTTTATCAGTGCGAATCAAATTTTTTAATGAACAAATTTCGAGACGCGATAAAGATTAATTTAGTTTATATTATATGTTACGTTTAATATAAGAAATACTGTAAAAAAATAAAATCGGATTTTTTTTAAAATCACGAGACATTTTTTCCTTGGACTTTATTATTAAAATGTGAACTTTTTTTTTTTGGAAAGCAAACTATTTTATGAAAGAAAAACGTTTTGAGTATTCGCAGAAATGGAATGGAAATAAAAAAAGAGGTGCCAAAATCAATTTTAATGAAAATTCGATCAAATATTTAATTATCAAAAAAAAAAAAATTTCTGGTGTAACATAATTTAATTCTTTTCGTAAATAAAACAATGAACCAATTCAAGAAAAGTCGATTTTAAAAAATTTTTATTTTAATCCATATTGGGATACTGCATATACTGCATAAGGATATATTTTTTTTCCTGCAATGCAAATAATTCGGAAATAAAACTCCGGAAATATTATTTAATTGAATGGAATTTTACGAATGTTAATATGTAACTTCTTCTTCCCCCCCCCCCCTCTTGATTACCAACTATGTTTAGAAGTAAAAAACGTCAAAATAGAGAATCGAAGAACAAAAATAACTTAGGTGTAGATGCGATTTCTATTTCATCTTTATCTCCTTCTCCCTCTCCTTCTCTTTCTCCTTGTCCTTCACCATCAATGAATCCACAAGATGATAATGGAATAACGAATGATTTAAGTAAAGTGAATTTAGATGATGAAAGAACAATGGATGATTGTGAAAGTACAAAGGAATTAACCAGTCGCGGTTCTAACGTTTGTACTATAATAAAAGGAGTACATTGTATAGTTAAAAGTTTTGAAGAATTTAATCCAGTAATCAAAACATTCCTTTCATTGGGAAATGAAATTATTACCTTGTATGAAAAGGCTGAACATAATAAAAAATTATGTAGTATCCTTTTAAAAAGAGTTAATTGTGCGTATGCTGCGGTAAAGGATTTAAATATTAAAAAAACCGAAAATACACAGTTTTTTGTTAAACATGATAATCTAAAAATATTAGAGGACTTTACTGATTGTATAAGAGAAATCAAAAACTTTATAGAAGATATTAGTTTCTTAAACAAACTTCAAAGATTTTTTTATACCGGTGGGATCAATGATACTTTTCAAAGACTTACAAAGGAATTTGACGCATATATGAGTAGTTTGAATTTTTCTTTTATTGTAGAATCTAGAGATGAATTTGCAACAATGAAGGATGATGTAAGCCAAATCAAAGATATATTAACCGTCGTTCATGGCGTCTCTGACGATAAACAATCTCAACAAAAATTCCTTACTGGAATGGGTCGAGTGGCCGGAAGAAACAAAGAATTCAAAAAACAAAACAAAACCACCCCAAACATGAATTCATCTGAACATATTATAACAATTGTAGAAGCAAACGAACCATTACTTGAAGGCAATTCTTATATTAAAACAAATATTTGTCCTTCAAGAAGGATTGAAAAACGCACTTCAGTCAAAGATTGTACTGACGTTTCATTTAAAGAATTTTCAAATAATACATCTTCGGATGAGGTGCAAACTCAGTTT